AAATCCAAGCAGCAGCCATGAGAAAAAGCCCAGGATCAGCCCAAGAAATAGCAAGCAGCCCCCACAATTAGAGTGCAGAGAAGTGTCATCAGTCAAGGCCTTCATTAGCACCAATGTGAGTGGGATGGTGGCTTGATGGCCCCAGTACCTCTGCTCAATGCATAGAATGATGGGGAAAACGCTTGGGGCTCCTGGTAGATTCTCAGATATCCTTTTTTCTGAGAGCTGGAAAATCATGACACATCGATTCCCCAGTCCTCCTACAAATCATTTTGATAATAAAGGCCCACCTGTGACATTAAGTACATTTTAATTACAACACTGTCTGTAATGCATATATCTAATTGCAAATAATTACTTTATCATATTTTGTCAGTATGCCTGTTATATGCATCAGATATTATCTTCTGACTCAGTGGTACAGGTTAATTAAAATTTCGCTTTTAATACTGTTTCAAAGCTAACCACATAATTTCATCTGAACACCAGCTGCGTTATTTTTTATTATTTTTTTGTCATGCTTGTATATAGAGGAAAAAACAAGCCATTTCTAAAGGCTATAATTACTGCACTGCTCTCCACAGTAATTTACTGGGAAAAGGGAAGGGAAGGGAAGGGAAGGGAAGGGAAGGGAAGGGAAGGGACGGGAAGGGAAGGGAAGGGAAGGGAAGGGAAGGGAAGGGAAGGGAAGGGAAGGGATTTCTTTCAGAAGGAATTAACATGTTATGTAGCCATGATTTAAAGGATGTCTCAATGGTATAAACTAGGGTTAAGGTGATAAACGTGGTCACTCTTAATACTAACAAAGCATGTGGATGCCCCATCCCTGAAGGCATTCAAGGCCAGGCTGGATGTGGCTCTGGGCAGCCTGATCTGATGGTTGGTGACCCTGCACGTAGCAGGGCTCAAACTGGATGATCATTGTGGTACCTTTCAATCCAGGCCATTTTATGATTCTACACCTTTAGCTTCTTTTCCTGGTTCCAAGCTAAGCAGCACAGAAAGGCTTCTCCATGCCAATGGGATCTGGGTGTTTCCTTCTGGGAGGTATCAAGGGACATGCAATCCACATTCTGTTGTCATATTGCCATATCTGTTTTTTTTTCCCATCCATAAATTCCTGTCTGTCCCTCTACACACAGACTGCAACCCAGACAGAAGGAAATCTGACATCCTTTTTGGATGCCTTTTTTTTTTCCTGGCCCCCATTTTTACTATATGAATGATATTTTGATGTCTTGGGTGCTGCAAGAAACTTTGCATTAGAACCTTTGCGCTAAGGAAATGATTATCTCACCTGTGTGTTATTTAGGAGGCAAGTTTCCTTATTTACCTTTCCCCTACCCTTTTCTTCCAGGGCCATAATGAAGTGTGGCATTGACACAAGTAAGAGGAGAAGTTCCGTAATTCAATCTGTCATTAAAATTTCAGCCTGCAAAGGAAAAGCAGCCATGCCTGTTCATCAGGTCTGCGTTGCAGGACTGCTCACCCTCACTGCAGAGAGCCAACGAGCTGCACTGGGGTTTGTCATGATTTTCATTACAACTGTATTCCATGCATTTTGTTACACGTTAGCGTGAGTCCCTGCTCTTTGGCCATTAGAATGTGATTGGTGTGATGTGAAATTTAGAAAACATGCATGTCCTAAAGATCGTAGTAAGTAGATCCATAGCTCTCAGCTCCCCTCCAAGGCAGCTCTGTTGGAAAACCAGAGCCCATGACAGCAGCCTGGCAAAGCTAAAGGCGAGCCATGAGCCACCTCCACCCACAGCAACAGCTTCCAAGCAGCACAGAGTGATAAGGGATTACTGCTTTGTCTCTTTGTTTGCCTCCTTACACAATTTGCTTTATATAGATTTTACTTCAGATCCTGAAAACTGAATGATCTAATCGTTTTCAGGAAATTCATCTACCTCAGCCATCAACTTTTGGAAATGCATCGTCTGGTTTTCTGGGCAACCGCAGCTTGTCGCATGGTGAGAAGACATAAGTCATAGGATTTTATGAATGGTTCCCCAGTGCAAGCTGACATAATCACTGCAAGTTTATTGTTATTTCTGTTTTCCATTATTTTACATCAAACCATAAGCAAATCCTTTGAGAAGTTGTGTTTCATGATTTATGCAAGCATTATTGTGGATAATAATAATAACTGGAACAGGCTGCCCAAGGAGGCTGTGGATGCCCCATCCCTGCAGGCATTCAAGGCCAGGCTGGATGTGGCTCCGGGCAGCCTGGGCTGCTGGTTGGTGACCTGCACACAGCAGAGGGTTGGAACTGGATGAGCACTGTGCTCCTTTTCAACCCATTCTATGATTCCATAATCTTTAGATCCTACAGGTATGTATTATTTGAATCTATTTGCTTACCTAAATCTGAGAGGAGACATTGTTTAACGTGCTTTCTCCTCCATGTTGCTCCAACTGCTAGTTCTTAATAGAAGACAAAGGAATTTTGCACTGTGAAGATCAGCAAACATGTGGGGATGCAATTAGAAGCAGCAAAAATATTGTGCTCATTGTATTCCATGTGGCACGTGACATGTGGAAGGAAATGGGAGTTATACGATCCAACGTCAAATGCAAAGACATAAAAAATAAATGCGAAAAATTGTCTGACATCTCAATAGCTTCCAATTCAAAAGCATTTTAATAGCCTGTGTATTTCCAAGTAATATAAATTAAGCATAGAATCTACTGAGGAGCAGTCTGTCATCACATGCTGTGTGGAAGTGCCTTAATTTCTGGGAGCTTGACGGGTTTTCTTTCAGTGAATAATGTCAGTGTTTGCCTCTTTACCAATCTGCTTATTTCTTATTTCAGAAGAACCCCAGCCATAGAGAGATCGGATTCAGCCCTCACTCAAGCAGAAAGCATGCTAACATTTCACTGTAAGAGCAGCTGATTTGAACTTGGCCCACACGCCCTGCATGTTCAGAACCAAGAGATGGTCTGCAAACATCAGCTGGCTGCTCACAACACATCCGTTCAGCAGTGTCCCCAGACACAGACTTCACACCCCGCAATGAAATCACTTCCTGCCACCTACATGCAGCATTAGAGGCACTTTTTCATCTCTTCACTTCAGTGGTGCGCAAAGACTGAGTTCAAATAGCCTTAATTCTATGATGAAAGCACACAATTAAAAACAAAAACAAGCCCCAAACCCTCACTCTAATTATGGTAACGTTAAGCTCTGCTGAATCACTGAGCTCTTCATGTGACCGCATTTTCCATCTTCTAACAGGGAAAGAAAGAAGTGTCATCCTGCAGCACTATGATCCAGGTCATGAAATCTATATTCTGTGGAGCTCGGCAAGAGAGGAATTCCTGGCAAACTGTCCATCAGTGAATGCCTAACGCTCTGCAGTTAGGCGCTAGGCACCAAAATTGCATAGTTATCACAAATGTCATTAAATATCAGAGAAGCTACATAGCTGCAGTAGCTTTAAAGTCATAGGTTGTTTTTTTTGTTGTTGTTGTTGCTGTTATTTTGTTTTTAATAAAGTAAAAAAAAGACAAAAGCATGGAAATGTCAAAAATTGCCAACAGAGACAACCAGAAAGCTCTTGTTTTAAGTCAGTTAAAGCAAAAGGAAAGAGGAGAAAAAAAAAAAAAAAAAGAAAAAAGGAAAGGAAAAAGTGAGCCAAAATTTTAGCCCTGTGCTTCCTTAGCCAACTGCACGTATTGATTTGTGGCAATGAAAGGGAAAAGTTGGGATGGCTTCATTCGCCCTTCTCAGGAAGCTGCAGATATTCAACTTGCAGTGCATGACAAATAATTTCAGACAGATTTACAGCTGTTCCAGAAGGAGACATTGTGTAACAGCGTAGGGGAAAGATACACACTCTGAATTACTGTAAACCTTAAGTGGGCTCCAAGACAATAGACTCTTGAACAATAATACATTCTCTTTTACTGGTGGCAAGGTCATGCTTTCCAACCTTTTTCTTTAATGAGGATTTTTGCTTTGTTTAACGTTTGTTTAAAAAAAAATTTGCTGAGTTCCCCTTCCTGTACGTCCATCCCAGCAGCATGCTCTGGTGGCCAAGAAGGCCAATGGTGTCCTGGGGTACATGACACAGAGCGAGGCCAGCAGGGCGAGGAGGTGATCCCTTCTATCCAATTCTGTGATGCTGTGACCTCACTCTGACATTTACTAAAGCCCACTTTTCTGATCAGAATATTACGGACAGGCCTTCAGTCAAGCCCTGTTGGGTTCAGATTCTGAGAAAAAAACACAGTTTTGCTGTTGAACTGCAAATCTGCCCAGCATTTGTCTTTACTTGGACGCCACATACAAGACCCGCTGTGCTCCACAAGGCACCTCACCCCGGCGCCGCGCTCGCGCACAGCACCTGCACGTGCTCGGCCCCCTCCATGGCGCGGTGACGTCAGCATGACGCCAAGCAACAGCGCACCGCCGTGAGAGAAGACTACAGCTCCCGGCGTGCAACGCGCGGCGCCCCGCCATGCGCAGAGACTGCTTCCGCGCGAAGCACGCCGGGAGTTGTAGTCACCGCGCACGACGCTGGGCCGCCGCGGCTGCGCAGTGGGGCGGCGCGGGCGGGAGGCGGCGGGTTCCGCCTCGTCACGCCCACCCACGGCGGCGGCGGAGGGTGGCGAGCCGCGGGGCCGGCGGAGACGCTGCTGTCGCCTCGCTTCGCCTCCCGCTCGGACTCGCTCTCGGCCGGGCCCTCCCGTCCTTCCCGCGGAGCCCACCCGAGGGGCTCGCCATGTTCTCCAGGAAGGGCCACGCCGACGCCAGGAAATCCACGCAGAAAGCTCTAGACCCCAAGCGGGACGTGCTGACCCGCCTCAAGCACCTCCGGGCGCTGCTGGGTGAGTGAGAGCCGCCCCGCCCCGCCCAGAGGGAAGCGGGCTGCGGGCGGGAGCGGCTGACGGAGCCCTGAGGGACCCTGAGGAGCCCCGAGGGCGGCGGCACGGCGCACAGCCGCAGCCCCGCGGCACCGCGCGGCGACGCTTTCAAATCTCCCACCTCACAACAAAGGGCTCCGAGCCGGTGGGGCTGGGCTTCGGCCCCTGAGGGAGAGAGCTGGTGCGGGGCTGCGCTGCCCGAGATGTCCGAGTTAGCAAGCGATGAGTGCCTCTGGGTGGCAGAGGTGGTTGGTGTCGTTTGGTGGTAAAGTAGTGGGAACCGGTGGCTGTTTGGGTGCGAAATAGCCAACAGCCCCGCAGGATGCGTCTTCAGAAGACCGGTGCGTCTGAGTTGTTGTTCACTGGTCGGTGTGGATCAATGGGCTGAGCCCGGCGGGATGAGCCTCACCAACCCGACCGTCGGGTGCTGCGCTTTGGCCACAGCAGCCCCACGCAGCGCTGCAGCCTTGGGGCAGTGGCTGGCAAGCTGTGTGGAGGTAAAGGCTGCGGGGCCGTTAGCTGACAGCCGGCTGAACGTGAGCCAGCAGTGTGCCCAGGTGGCCAAGAAGGCCAACGGCACCTCAGCGTGTGTCAGCAGCAGGAGGTGAGCGGCCCTCCGCGCTGCCGCTGGTGAGGCCGCACCTCCAGTGCTGCGCTCAGCGCTGGGCCCTCACTACAGGAAAGACACCGAGGGCTGCAGCGTGTCCAGAGAAGGGCAGCGGGGCTGTGAGGGGGCTGGAGCACAAGTGTGATGGGGAGCGGCTGAGGAACCGGGGCTGTTCGGTCTGGAGGCTCAGGGCTGACCTATGGCTCTGCAACCACCTGAAAGGAGGCTGTGTGAGGCGGGGTCGGCCTCTGCTGGCAGGGAACGGCCATAGGACGAGAGGGGATGGCCTCACGTTGTGCCAGGGGAGGTTCGGGTTGGCTGCTAGGAACAATTCCTTCTCCAGAAGTGATTCTGCACTGACACAGCTGCCCAGGGAGCGGTGGGGTCACCGGGAGGAGTCCCAGAGCTGTGGGATGTGGCACTGAGGGACGTGGGCAGTGGGCACAGTGGGATTGGGTTGTGGTTAGTGATCTTAGTGGTGTTTTCCAACTTTAATGAATCTGTGATTCTAATTCGTCTATTTATTTTAACTTTAAGGAGCTTGTGTAACTGTAGTTTGGGATATACTTTCCTTGTCTGTTGAAGGGTTGAATCTCTCTCTTCAACATCTCCTACAGCGGAAGCCTTAACGCCTCTCTTTTGTTTCAAAACATTGAAACCTGTTGCTGAATTTTGATGGTAATCTAAGTCTTGCAGGGGTTTAGATAGCCTTATGTTCTGCTGGTGAGCAAACAGCAGCAGGAAGTAGCTCTTCTAAGCGCTCTCAGGCACTGTCCTGGTTTAGGAGAATCAGTGGTGGTGTTAATACTTGTTAACCTCATTTTGATTTACTTTCTGAGAGACAAGGAGGAGAAAGTGATGCACGAAACTTCCATTTGTTGTGTATGCTGCTTATTTTTTGAGTCTGGCTGCCTATCTCGGCCACAGCTGACCATTATGTGGGAGCCTCAGAGACGTCTTGTTAGCTGCAAGACTTCGGTAGCTGGTTACAGGAAAGAGCCCAAGGTTAGTGACTTTTGAAGAAAGAGAAGTCAGTCACTGTTTCTGCATCGTTCCCCTTGGTCACTGCACGTGCTGGCTGTCAGCCACTGGTACCATCTAGGAGGAAGCGCAGGCTTTGTGGAGTCCTCCCAGTGCTCTGCCTGCGGCATCAGGCTGCATGGGGAACCTCGCTGTGGTCTGCAGCATGGGTCAGTGGGGCTTGAGGTTAGAAGCCTCTTCCTGCAGCATTTCAGTGACGGGAGAAAATACATTAGAAGCTTTCTTGATGTGCTGTAGCAAAGTGAGCAGCTTTTGTAGTGACAGTGCTGTATGTGGTCTTGAGTGAGAAGACAGTGATGGGTCTCGCTCAGGACACTCACTTTGGGATGGCTGTGCTCTGTGAGTGCCAAAATGAATGAGTAGAAGTCTCTGATAGTTTAGCAGGTTGTGGATGTACTTGTGTTGGGTTGGTTTTTTTTTCTTATAGGTTTAATCCAACTTCTCTGTGATTTAAACGTGATACTTCTCCATGCATTTAGCGAGCTTTTTTGGGGGTAGTTAACAAGTGGAAAAAGTGCTGGACAGGTGAGTAGGCAGTCTCATTTTATGCTCTACAAGTAGCATTGTTTTGGTATATATGTATTTTTTCATCCTCCCTGGGGACCAAGCTTGTGCATTTCTTGTACTAGAGGTGTGTAAAATGTTCTGTTTGGTTGGTTTTGTTTGCTTGTTTTCAAATCATACCATGTATCTGCCTGCCTAAGGATTTTGGCAGGCGGAAGATACATTATGCTCATGCACTGCAACTGTATATTTCACTTATTGGCTATGTGCTCCACAAACCATACTAAAATAATTTCAAGTTTCATTTTAAGTAATCTGGGGAAATGTTTTCTTTACCAAATGAGGTTTTAGAACATGTTGTGAAACCATCCTGAAGAAAGATCGTTCTAGGAGTCAGGGCTGGCAGACATTTTTTCCTTTACGTCTCCCCTCACTAAAATAAGCAGGCCTGAAGAAATCCAAAATATGGCAGCTTTTAGTTTGCGTTCCCTTTCCAGCACTTATGTTTCGTAGATGAAAAGACTGAAGAGTTCAGTCAGAAGTTACAGCCCTTCTGGGGTCGTCGTTCCCTGCCCCCCTCTGCTTCTCTGTGCCCACAGTGGCACTTGTTCTTGGAGTAACTGAGCAGATGTCATTGTGTTGTCCTTTGTTATTGCACAAAGTCAATGCTAAGTGAAATGGCATTTACTCTGCTGAGATCCTACTGATGTAGGAGGGTAAAAATAAGAGGAAGGAAGATAATAAGAGGGCTGGGAGGGGAAGGAATGTTTATTTCCTTAAATAAGGGGTTGTGTGAGCAGCAAAAACAATAAAACCCTTTACTTGATTGATTCAGGCCTCTTAGCTGTCATCTGTGGAAGTTTTTATCAAAGAAAACCTTCCCTTTAAGTGTGTTGCTTGTAACATCCCTCAGGTCCCTTGAAGAATTGAGGCCCTGCTTCTGTGAGATGTGTCCTTGTTTGCTGGGCTGTCACTCAGTGGGACAGTTGTTTATGGATGTGACTACGTGATGTCTGGAATGAAAACCTTACTGTTGTAAAGTGGGTGGTCACCTGTGTTAGGTACAATACGAAAGAATTCATTTTGTTAATTGCTGTGTATGTGTTCCAGCCTTCCTGAGGAATTTTCATCTATTTTCAAGAATAGATGTGTCACAACACAGTGTCTTCTATGAGTATGGTGCTGTGGGGCAGTGACCTCTGTTTACCACAGTGCTCTCCATTAATCAACGTGGGATCATTATTTGTTGGCGCATACAAGTGGAGGGGATATCACAGGGCACCTGAGCTTTATTTCATACTGGTGGGGAGCCTCTTCTTTGTGCTGGTGTTATCCTTGCTGATTTCAGAGCATCATTTGCCTGAGGGCTGCAGCACATGCTTGGGTCTTGAAACTTGTTTTATTGTAGGCTGGGAGTTGTCAAGTCTGTGTGTGGGTAGGATGATCTCTGGTGATTTCAGTTGGCTGCCACCTTTCACATAACACTTAGGAAATGAGAACTTTCCCTTTGCTGCTTGTGAGTGTGCTGCAAGCTGCCCGAGAGGTGGTAATGATAATACTGACTTAAGTGGCTGAACTTCAACTTTTTTTATGCTGACTAATGATAGAGATGATAACCTTGTGTTTGAATGGCTTAGGTTGTGCTGCTCGAATGGTGTGAGCTTGCTAGTGATATTATTTTAGACACATTCAGAAGTTAGTGCTTGCAAATGTCTGTGTTTAGAAAAGCCATTGCTCCTTGGATTACCAGCAACACTTGAGATGTTAAAATTATTTTAGAAATTGCTCTAACTAGAATTTCTTTTTCAGTGATGGCCTTTGAGTAATGGTAACAGTTTCCTTGTGAAATAGACAGTCCCTGAAAAAAAAGAACAAAACTGATCTTAGGGGCTTTTACTTAGCATTTAAAGCTCTAATTTGAAACAATTGCCATTTCTTTTTCTGAGACAGTTGTAAAAATAGCATGAAGTTTGTGGGGTGAGGCTGGTCATAAAAGTTTATCATTAACCAGAGTGTGACTGCAAAGTCATCTTTTCATCTCCTTTACTTCTTTCTAAGTACTCGAGACAAAGAAAATCCCTGGGGATTGTGAGAGCTGTATATAAATAACATAAAACCTCACATAAAACCACCTGACTCTGGAAGTTCATGGAATTAAGGGAGGCTTTCTCACAGCTTAAACAAATGCGGTAACACATCATAGTTAATACAGAAATAAGAGGAAAACCGGTGTGATAAGGACCCAATTATTTTCATACATATGTATATGTATATATTATGAACCAAGGAGAGCACTGAGCATGCAGTGCACTCAAATTCTTACTAGATGGTTCCTGGATAGTTAATTTCCTTAAATGTTAAGGTTAAGCAGTAAGAGAAGTGTGGGTGACTTGCCATCATCTAATGAGCTGATTTTTGTATCTTCTAGAGAAGGATTCTCACGTACACCCTCCAGAACGTCCTGCTGTTTCCTTCATGTTGCTGTGAAAGCTGCAGAGTGCTCATGGGGAAGCATTAGCTAATGAACCACCTGACCTTGCATAGGGAATGGAGTCAGGTTATACGTGTTCTTGGAAAGGCACCAACTGTCTGACGGCTTGTAATGTTTGCCAGCTTGCCTTAGATTTTAGTACTCAGTTGTGAATTCAGAAGGTGGTTGTTTTTTGCTGGTAGTAATGTGAGGGTTACTTATCAGTCAATATAGACAGAGAAATAAATAGAAAAATATAACCTAACATCTGCTGTTCAGCTTTGCTCTTTAATTTTCCTTCAATGCTTGTAAGTGTTTCTTCAGTCAATTCGGTGCGGCAGAAGTCAATATTTAACCTTGGGATCTACACTGAGAAATAGTAAACGACACTTGCTCAAAAGTCATCTCGTGAAGGACTCTTTCTCATCAGCTTTTGTTGTGGTGATGGTCTCTGAAAAGGGCAGAAGCAGTGGGACTGGGGAGGAAGCTGTGCTGCGTGTGCTGCTGCCTGCCCAGAGGGGGGAGCCTGGAGGGGGGTTGCTGCTTTGCTCTTAATAGGAGAGCTGAGCAGTGGTGTCAGGATGACGGCTTGCTCACACAATTGCAAGAAAATCGTACTTTCAGAGCAGATATCTTGTCCTAAGGTAGCAGCCGGAGGTGTTGCTGATGGTTCAGAATTCAGAACCTTACATTTTGAAACGTAAGGTTTATCCTCCATGTTCTCCAATTTATTCTCCGTATCCTGCAAAGGAGTATAAAGAACAAAGTAGTTCAGTAGGGAAAGGATGTGACTGAGAATGCATGCTTATGTCAGAGTAGCAGATGAGTCATCTCCGAAATGCCACATTTATAGAATAGAGAATTTACTTTTTTTTTTTTGATTAGGCAGCTCCTTTCTCCTCCTTTCACAATTTAAAGGGAAAGTTTCCTTAATGAACTCATTCTTTCATATGAAAGCCTTGTAAATGAAAGCCTTGTTTTCTCCTAGAGTTGTGTTTAACAACGCATTCATAGAGGGGAATAATTGCACTTAACTTGCAAATTCAACACCAGTAGCTTGAAGGAAACCAATACCATGTAAAAGAGTTTCCATGCACTAATTGTTGCCATACTGCAAGCATCCAAACAAAGCCTTCTTGCAGAAAAGCTATCAATTTATTGTTTCAGGGGATAAAAAAAGCACAAAACACCGGTGCTATTCAAGGCTAACATCAATCTTTTGTTGATGTGTGATGTTGTTGGTTCTTCTTGTATTTAACTTTGTTGGCTTGGTTAATGAATGGCTTTCTTGAGAGGCTGTTAATAATTCTTACGCTTTCTCTTCTTACTTCTGGGTGGAATTACATCTTTCCTAGGCCAAATCAATTACAGCAAAGAACAAGCATAATTAAAGTGCAGTTGGCAAATGTCATGTTTAGGAAATGTTAGGGGTTTTTTTTGTTTTTTTCTTAAAAAATAAGTTTGTTTGAAATCTTAACTCTACATTAAGGCCCAAGGTAGTGTTGCATGCATGGGCTTCTGTTATTTTTTTTAAAGAAATTGGAGATATTTGTTGTTTGTTTGATTATTTACCGGATAAATTTAACAGCTAGATTTGCAATTAACTTTTGGAAATGATTGCTGGCATTTCTTTTTCTCCAGCAATAGCTGTCTGTTCTGGTGGTGCAGGAGCAATATAGTCAGGTAGCCATGCTGGCATCAAAACATACCCTGTAGAATATTTTCCTGTGTAAGTTACTTTAAAATTGGAAGTGGTTTGGAAACAGAAATGAAGACTGTAGATAAGATACAGCTCATGTTTTGGAAGTATTTCTTGAGCAGTGGGATTTCCAGCAGTCAGTCTGTAGCCCAGTGATCTCTGACCTCTGCTTCTAACATTAGCCTCCTCGTGTGCTCCAAGTACTTTCCTACAGCTATTCTCTAGATTGCTTCAGTTTGGCCTGGGTAGGCTTATTTATTTACTAAATAGTTCTGTGACTCTTAATGAAAACTCCAGCTTTTCCCCTGCTTCCCATCCTCCCCAGGTAGGATGGTGTGCAGGTGGTGCCCCAGCTGGCACAGGGCTGTCGACAGGCTCACCTTCCCTTGGTATCTTTTAATTTGTCAGTACTTGATGTAATTTACAAAAGTACATCAATTCCTTTCCGGAGTTGCGTGCTGTTCTGAGAGAACTATTTCCAAATGCACATTAAAATCCATGTGAAATGTGATTTCTGGTTGAGCAGTGCTGATGAAGATCTTCAGATAGCAATATTCGCTGATGCCACAGTGATGCTTCAGCAGCATATTTGTCTTCCTCCTCCTCCACGTCAGCCTCAGGCTGTGTGTTTGTGAGCATTTAGTTTCTAGATCTTGAAATACGGGACAAGAAATGTCTCTAGCCCCTGCATAGTACATCTTTTAGAATTAGTAGACCTTTTCTCTAATGATCTGATTTATTTCATCTTACTGGCAACAGTAATTTAAATCTGCGAGGTTGGACTGCTGGGCGCTCAGGTTTTTATTTACTGAAACAATTGGCTGTGTGATACAGGTTTAGCTCCTGAGAGAATCAGATTACTGGATTAAATTCATAGTGAAGGTAAAAACAAGCTTTCTTCTGTCAAGCAGCAACACTGTATAAATTTCTACAAATGCTCTTAACTCTCTTTTCTGTAATTAAACTTGAAAATTATGAACAATTATAAATGGTAGAGAAATCTGCAGTTGTTTCATTATAAAAGAAAGTGTTTCAATTTGACCTTTCTTTTTAACATGCCATTATTGTTTGGTGTTGAGGCAGTCACAGTGAATGTACCTTTGGTCTTTTAGAGCTGTGTTTTAGCCTTCACTTGGTCTTGCCCTTTTACTGAAACTTCCTGTGCAGACTTCCTCTACTCAGTGTAAAAGGTTGACTTTACCCTTGGGTGAAGGTTCCATATTATTATAATTATTATTATTATTATTATTATTATTTTTAAATGAATTGTTTTGAATTCACTGAGGATTCCTAATGATGTGTGGAATCTTTACAGACAGCTACAGGATGGCTGCTGTGTGGCGTAATTTTCAGAGTAATTAAAAAAATTGTTCATAAATGAACAAGCAGTGCAGTTGGCTATCAGATGGGCCAAAAGCCAGTCCATGTTCATGGCTAAACCATTTAGTACCTTTGCTATGTTTGGGTTCAGTCGTGTTACTTCATGCTGTGGGGCATGTGGAGGAATTTCTAGCAACGTACGCTTCTGATGGTCCAAAAGGATTCAGTTCAGTACTTAATGTAACCCCAATGAGGAGATCTGGTGAATTATTTTGGTAACAGGCAGCTTTCACATTTGTTAGCAAAAAATGTCTCTTAGGAGTTGTCCATAGCAACTCTTAAGAATTGCTACAGAAGCAATATGTGGGTGCATCTTGTCTTTCTTTTTTAAGATGGAAAACAAACCTAAACAACACGCAAACTTTGAAAAACTGAGTAAAAGCATACATTTTTCTATTTCATTTCTAATGATGGAAACACAATCTAGTATAAAATATTTAATGAAATCACTGGAATTGTTTCATAGTGCACTTCATTTTCCAGTTTGCATGAGAAGTGTTTCCAGGTTTCAGATGTTGTGTAATAACTCCATTTGTTCTTCTTGCTAGATATTGTGGATGGAAGTGACCTGAAGCAGTTTTTTGAGAACAATTATTCTCAAATTTTTTTTATCTTCTATGAAAACTTCATAACACTGGAAAATAGCCTGAAACAAAAAGGTAAGTGTTAAGAGTTTAGCTGGCATCTTAATTTTACGGTATCAGTAGTGATGATCATGGAACCATAGACCATGGGAAGTTGCTGCTTGAAATACTGTAGGTAACTGACAGGAGTTGTAAATACGTGTTTATGGTTTGAAGCATAATTTCTGCGCTGAAATTACATCTTGTGCAATTCACATCTTCTCATCTTGTTTTGAAATGCTGATGGCCTTTACCATACATCTGAGTGTATGTCTGTTCAGCTGAAAAATATCAGAAAACCACAGAGCAAACCTGACCGTTGAAGATAACACTGAGTAGAATAACTGGGTGCTCCAAGGTGAACCCAATCGCATTGCTTTGCAGATCTGGGACTCTTAACTATGCCCAAAGAGGGGAGAGATACTGAAATTCAGAAATATCCTCCTCTTTTAATGCTAGATGAATTAAAGTAAACCAAGTGCAGCATTGTTGACTTCAGTTGAGTAACAGCAGTGTATTTGCTCCACCCATTTCATCACACCGCGTATTACGTCAAATGATGTTGTTTTCTTTCTTGCAGGGAATAAATCACAGAGGGAGGAGCTGGACTCCATCCTCTTTCTTTTTGAAGTAAGTTTTCCTTACTAGGGAACTATTTCTTCCTAATTGTGTGTGTTGTTGTCATTATGTGCTTGCTACTACCTTTACAACGTGAGGTAAAACCGGACATCAGTCAAAATGACAGCAGGTGTCCCTGCCTGTAAGAGATAAAAGGCAGAAAAGAGCTAGGGTGTGCATTGTTTTCAGATACAGCAATAATAAAAACAATTATGCCACAGAAATATCTGGCTTGAAAGAATATCCAGAGTTAGATTTTATCGAAGACAAGTAAACTAATTTAGCTTGCAGAGTAGTCTGAAATGTGGCTCTGGACAGTATCATATTGCTTAAGTATAGTTATTTTTTTAGTTGGTACCCTTAGGGTGGAAGACAGCTTGGTTGAACCAGAAGTAGAGAGGAGGACATGTGGGGGAAACTTCCTCAAACTTTGAACCTCAACAATAAAACTTTAAAGGAGAAATGAAATAAATTTTATTAATTTTTAGATCATAAATACTTTACAGATATAAAAATGTAGCTGCTCAGTTCTGAGAAATCTCATGGTAAATTTGTATGCCTTACTGTATTTAGTTTCCCTTGCAGTACTTGAATGAGAACATGCTCAGAATATAAGTAGTACGTTGCTTCTTAATTGTAAATCATTGTGTTTTGCTCTTAACTTCTTCAAGTTACTGAGCACACTTGATAATGTGGCAGTTCACAATACGCAGAAATTTTAATTAATATATCCAATAAAAAAAAGGGTGAATAAGAGTACGTCAGAACTTCAAGGTTTTTGCTTGGTGAGAAGGTATGGCTCTAGATCTTGAGTAACTATTGCATTGCTTTCTGTAACTTAAGGAAAAGCTTGAGTGTATTCATCTGTGTATTTGTTAGGTCAACTGCAGGTAATGTCTGTGAGGGTGAAAAAATCTCTGGTGGCTAAAACTAGAGTTGTCTTTTGAAGTACCTTAGAAGGAAGTATTTAATACCTTGCTTTCTTTGCTACCCTTGCAACATGTTCTTCATTTGGATTTCTTCAATGTGCTACTTCAACTTCAGCTTTCAAAGTTGGGGTAGTTTTTCAAATTAGTATTCTCAGTTTTTGAACAATAAATTCTGACATCAAGGAAGTTGGATCCAAATTTAGGATTTCAGAGATGATAAGCTCAGAAAACAGGTGACATGTAGCTTAGTCTTGTTGTGTTCTGCATGAATTTGGTAACCACGTATACTAATGGTTTGTTTTCAAGAGTACAAAAGGAAATGTATCCTTCTGGATACTATAAGATATTTAAAATTGTGTCCACACAAGGCACACTTACCAGACTGGAAGATGCTTCCCATCACTGTAGAAGTATATGTTGTTTGCCAACATATGATTCTTCCACTAACAAGATGAGGCAGCAAGTGATCAAGGAGTGACAGGAATAAGTGAAGAGGAAAGTATCAATACAATTAAATTGTCTATTTCAGAAAACTTTTTTGATTATATTCAATTTGCAGTCAGAATTCCTTCAAATGTCAAGATCTGTCATCCTGTTTCCTTTTGAAGAGTGAAGACTGAATGTGAACAAATCTAAACAAAGAATCCTGTCATTCATGTAACACAAGAGATTTTCCTTTCGGGGTAAAACTGGTTGCTGAAATGCTGGAGCAGTATGCGAATGTAATTCTTCTTTAAATCTCATGGCACTTCTTATAGTAAGATTTTTCTTTTCCATTTTACTGTACTTTAAAAACCCCAAACCTGAAAGGTGTCATTCTTGTTACATGATAACAGTAGTGTTGAAATGTAAGAAAATCTTGAAGGAGTCGAGAAGAGCAGCCAGGGATGGAGGAAGAAGAAATGACAAGACAAGGTTCGTTTTCATGTTTCAAGATGAAGCAGTATCTTGGCTATGTCTGCATTTCATCTCCAAGTGAAATGAAAGCTATGTTTTTGAAGAAACAGGATCAGGTCTCTGAAGATGCCCTGTTATTCCTTCTCCTTATCTAAAGAAAGAAAAAAAGACATCTTTAATTGAATGTTTTTGCTTCTGTAATACATGGGACGATGAGTTCAAGGCAACACAATGGAAGTTGCTCTGAAAGTAATGCCTCCTATTTATTTCCGTGGAGACTACAGTAGATAAAAAGATCACAATAACACTTTGATAGAGCACATTCTCTGCTACAAAACACTATTTTTCAGCATAGTCACCATCATTAGCTGTGCATTTTTGCCAGCAATGAACAAGAGCCTACATGGCTGGTCTTTCACATCACTGTTGCCACTTGCTCTTGTTAGACTTTGTGCTGTTAGTGATTGTCCAATAACTCATCAAAATCTGCAAGGCCTCTCTGCCCTCAAGGGAGTTGACATCTCTTCCCAATTTAGTATCATCTGCAAACTTACTGAGTACGCATCTGAGTCTCGTGTCCAGATTATTTATAGAAACATTGAAGAGAACTGGCCCTAAAATGGAGCCATGTAGAACCCCTCTAGCGACTGGCCATCATCCTGAGGTGGTCCCATTTACTGTGACCTTTGAGCCCAACCTGTCAGTCAATTGCTCACTCATCTTCTTAGGTATTTATGGACATTTTGTCCGTAAAGATACAGTGAGAAGCAGTGTTGAAAGCTTTTCTGAAATCCCAAAAGATTACGTCTGCTGTCTTCCCTTGGCCATCTCGGTGTGTAACCTTGTAATCAAAGGAAATTAGGTTTGTTAAACTGGGCCTTCCCCTTGTGAACCCTTGCTGATGGCAACAATGACTGCATTGTCTTGTAGTTCTTTTTCAATAACTCTTAGAATAATCTTCTCCACAATTTTACCAGGCACTCAAGAGAGACTGACAGGCCTGCAATTACTAGTGTCTTCTTTCTTGCCCTTTGTGAAAATCAGAATGTTTTCTATCCTCCGGTCAACTCTGAAACTTCTCCAGATTTCCAAGCCCATTTTAAAAAAGATAATAATTAAGAGAGGTCTCGTGATAACATCAGGGTATTAAAAATACTGGCTGATAAAAATTCTCTTGGGTCCCTGTAGACTTGCATAGCCAGCTGGAATAGCAAAACCCACCCGAGTTTGAGGTTGTCTGGAAGTTTATCATTCCTGCATCGTGGTCCTCCAGCTTGGGGCTCAGGTGGACCCAGCATCATCATCAGTGCTGAAGACAGAGGTGAAGAAGGCATTAAACATCTCTGCTTTGTCTACATCCCTGTTTGTGAGGTGACTAACTCCACTGAGTAACAGAATTTTCTTTGGTCCTCCTTTTGCTGTTAACTTATATTAAAAATGCCCTTTTTGTTGTCCTCTGCAGTACTGGCCAGCTTCAACTCTAACTGAGCTTCGGCTGTGTCGATTTTCTTCCTACAATTGTAAACAGCACTGCGGTTCTCCCATGCCGCTGTTTCCTTCTGAAGTCTGTATGCTTTACTTTTCCACCTGAGCTCAAGAAGGAGATCCCTGCTCAGGGAAGCTGACCTGCCCCACCTGCATGACTGCTGATGGTTTGGAATTCCTTGTTCTTTGCTCTGAAGAGGCAGGATTTAATCAGTGACCAGCAGTGATGGACCCCAGTGCCTTCAAAAGCACATTCCTGGGAGCCTTGCTAACTGGTTGTCTGAGCAGCCTGAAGTTTGCCCTCCCCATATCCAGGGTTCAGGTTTTGCTGGCAGTTTTCCTCCTGTCTGAAGGTTTTAAACTTCAGTATGTCATAGTCATTGTGACAAGACTGCTACCGAGTGCTACCTCACCTATGAGACCCTCTCTACTTGTAAAAAAAATTGTATCTAGGAGGACACCATTTCTAGTTGGTTCCTTTTTCTGCTTTTATTTATTTATTCCCAATAAAGCATTAGTAAGAATCTGATGTAGGATTTTGTTTAAGGCAGCATCAAATTACACAAGGTCTTACATATGCCATGCCTGTATGGGTGGCAGGAGAAATTCTTTTGTTCCTCCCTTCTCACCCCCAAGTGAGAATAGGTATCACCTCATTTACTGAGCAAGGCTGTGCATTTTAATTGCATCTCATTAATACACTTACTCTGTGGCCTTGAATAAGTAATTAAATTTCTGTGTCTATGTCATTGAATAGAAAACAGCTAATGCTTACTCACCCTGTTAAAGTGAATAAATATGTATTCCTGTGTCTTGAAAATGTGTGGCTAAAAACCAACTCAGTATGGCTTAAAAATATCAGGAAAACATAATGGTGAGGAAAAAAAGAAACACAGTTACATATGAACAAAGTACTGTTTTGGTTCTGATGGAAGAGAATGGTATTTTAGCCCAGTGAGGAAACAAAGAAGAAATCATTCCAGTATGAAATTTGAAGTGATCTGCTTCATGGTGTTAATGTACTAGAAGTAACTTTGCAATCCATTTATGCCTCTGACACTTAATAACTTAATGCTTTTTAGGAGAACAGTTTTTTCTAGGGCCCTTTAATACACAGATCAAGAGTATGTCGGTCAGAATACAGGACAAGGAGAGTGTAAATGCCAGGTAATTAAACATTCATATTGTCAGCCATAGGAAACAGAGCTAATTGATTGTTAAGCTTACCCCATTTAATCTGTTGTCAGCATGAACCAGAGGTTTCCAAGAGTTTTCTTCTAATTAGCTAAGTAGGTAATTACTTAGGATTGAGAAATCCCGAATCCAGGTGGTTGGGGTTAGCTTTTTGAAGAGTCAATAAAAATATTTATGAAATAATGTGACATGCTTTTTTCTGGTATAGTTTGGTGACTGTTTTGCTGCTGTTCTTGAGTGACACCTAGTGTGTATGTTAAGCAAAAGTGCCATCTGTTTCCACAAATGCTCTGAAAACTAGGTTGACTCTGTTGTGGTTTACTGAAATCTTAATTTTACACATCACCTATGTAGTTAGGGCTCTTAATGGTGCAATAAGCAACATATTAATCAAAGAAGAAATAATAATTGAAAAGGAGTAATATTAACAGTAATTTTAGTTAACTTAAAAGTGCTTTTGCAGTTACTGATCTCTGTGGTATCAGGTACTGATTCCTGTGACGCTGA